GGTGTTACAATCTGTGGTCCTCGAGCCACGGTGACTCCACCACCAGCATTGATTTGCTGCACGAGGAAATAGTTCACCGAGCTAGAACGCTTCCCTTTGGTTGTGTGGTTCAGGCAAAAGTTAGCAAGTCGAAGGCGCGTCTTGCTAAATACTGCGGAGCGAAAACAGTCAAGGCTGTTTACTTAGGACCCGTGAACGCACGAGGTGGAGGGATCTTCGCGGCCCCTTTTGGGAGTACGGAGATTGACGTATTTCCAACCGGGAGAATCGTTGAAGGAGCGTGCGATGTGAGCACTGTCGAAGGCCTCGCTGTTGCGCAGTCTTTGGTTCTTGATGGTAAAGACCCAGAACGGCCTGTCTTGTATGAACCCGAAGGTGTTGATGATGGGAATGGTCCTGAAGATGAAGTCATGGAAGGTGGTGTTGGTCCTTTAAATGAAGAAGACGAAGAGATGATTGCTGACGATACCTATGCTCCCGTAAGTGCCCCGGCGGAAGAAGGTGAGGCAGGGATCCTGCCTGATGAGGGGGAAGACATGGAGGACATGGAGATTGATTGGCTTTCGAATCACCTCTTGGAGTCTTTGTACCAAGGACCTGACCTTCGAGCTACCTCGCAGGAGGTGGCTGACTCGTTTACCTTGAAGTTCGGAGGAAGTAGGGTCAAGTGTCAGGTACCACGAAATGCGGTCTCTGAAACATCCGGAGAACAGTTGGATCCGAGCCTTTTGTATGCCTCAATGAAGTTGGAACGTTGATTGGACCCAGCCACGCATGGGTAGCCTCGCCTACAAATGGCTTGAGGGATTCCTGGAGGAACAGAAGCGGGCTGCGATAGCGCGACAGGCAGGTGGCGCTGGTGCCCAAGAGGGGCTGGATTGGACGCCGCATCACAAGTTGACGAAGCTGGGAGGCCTAAGCCCAGGCCTTATGGAAGGTATAAAGTCAGTGTGGCACGCGGGCGTCATCACGGAGTCCAAGCCAGGATGGTGCAAGAAGTGCCAAATGCCAGCAACTCTGGAGCATGTCCTCAAAGAATGTCCTTACTGGCGCGAACAAGGGTTCAAAGAACCCAAGCTCCAGGAATACTTGCGTCACAAATACCCATGGGAGTGTCTGTGGACAAGGGCACTCCTGAGGTCCGGGAGGAATAGACCCACGTGTACAAACATCAGCCCTCGCAGTGGTGGCTCTGTCCTGGACAAATGGTGTCCTGGTGGAAGCCGGACGGATTACAGAGCTGGTCTACCCATGGCAGCCGGTGGTGGACATGGAGCGCCGTGCACTTTTCCGACTAATGGAGCACACGGAGGATCTGATTGATGTCACTATGGATTGCAAGCCGGCAGTCCAAGTGCTACAAAAAACACAACCGCCGGAGGATGACTTGGAATGGAGCAAAGTGTGGAATGACAGGAAACGTATCAAGGCAACCTGGGTCCCGTCCCACAAAACTGAAGAGGAATTCCTGGCGAAGATGGGGCCGGGCACGTTGTGGCGACGTGCAGCGAATGACATGGCAGACAAAGTATGTGGTGCAGTAGCGGCGGCTGCTTACAGCCCAGCGCACAAGAGGCGTGTCAAAGAGTTGGACAATGTGGTGCGCACACTTTCCCTAGCGTACGGCGCACGCGCAGCCCACATATTGAGGACGCGCAAAGAAGAAGACTTCCCCTTCATCCTGGACCATGCCCATTACAAAGAGAAGATGGAGGCCTCGCAGAAAGCTGAGGGATGCAAAAAAGAGCAGGGCAACGCCAAACTCAACAAACGCCAGCGGCTTTGGCAGTTGCTGAAAAACCCGGAGCGCGGGCATCAATGGGAGAAGGGCAGCGAACACCCCCGGAATTTAACACTGAAATGTCAACTGTGCGGGTTGTATGTACAACAAACCCTCACGAACTTGGAGGTGGTCTTGGAGCAGTACTGCGTCAACCAGCCGGAGGCGCGAGTGCGTGAAGAGTGGGGTATCCACCCCTCCCATAATATGGTGAATTTGGGAATCCGTTGGGTTTGCACAAAGTGTGACCGAACACATGCACCGGTCAGCCAGAAGTGCAATAAAAGCCTGGCGGGGGAGTGCAAATCGCGGACTTCTCAAGGCAAGCTGGCTACCCAAGCGCAAACCCTTGTCAATGGTGGTAGTATGAGCAACGTCCAGTTTCAACAGCCTCGCGTTCAGTTTGGTGGGAAACACGCCAAAGCTAAGCCCCAAGCCAGCGCACAGCAGAAGATGTCATTGTTTGTTAGGCCTCGCCAAGCTGAGGGGACGCAGTAAATCCGCAGCCGTTTGGTGCAAGGAGACAGGGTTTCGGCCTCGTAGCTGAGGGTGAGGGCCTCGCAACGGGGAATTGCGATTGGTGTTTACGGCCTCGCTTTGCTGAGGGAGTGTAGCTCGGCCTCGCGGTGCGCGTGCTTGCGACACCGCTGAGGGTAAGAGAGGAGGCCTCGGCCTCGCAGAGCTGAGGGTGGAACAGGCGTCCTCATCCTCAAGGTGGGCCTTTAGCAATGAGGCAATGGAAGACGGATGCTACGATGAGAAGACAAGGGTCCCGACTGCCATCCTGGTTAAGGAATCGGCCGGACAAAGGCAAGGGCAAAAGCAAGAACAAGCAGAAGGATCAGCCCCGAGAACGTTCCCCGCTTCGACAGGCCAGACACCCGGAGCAGCCTTGGGATAGGGAAGAGGAGAGTGCTTCGGAATCTCCGGTGGGTCCGGTACGCCTACGGGAGAGAGGAGAAGACAGAGCGGCCTCGCACCAAGCTGAGGGTGTCAATACAGAGCAAGAGGTAAGCGAGCCTCGTACAGTCACGCTGGCGGAAGGGCCAGGCGCCCACAATATGGCCTCGCAGGAAGCTGAGGGAAAGGAGAAAAAGGAAGACATGGGGCAAGCCAAGCCTGTGCACCTTTTGGTGCACAAACTGCAGAACCAGCAAAGGCCAAGGACAGCGCTCCATTGGCTTGGGGAGGTCCAATTGGTCCGCAACCCAACGACAGGGCAAAGCTTACAGCCTAGGGTGCTTCCCTTCATAGGTGCAGGGCGCACTCGACGAGGATATGCTCTGGATCGGCTATGGGTCATGAAACTGGCGATGGAACCCCAGAGCTTTGGCAACGAAGCAGGGTATGGGGAACAATTCCCCACCCTGGTCACCAGGACCCTGTGGGCAGGATGGATTGGAGTCCTTTTCGACGAAGCGGTGGAGGGTTACTGCCACCACTACTTCTATGGAAGTATCATCCGCAGGGCAGAGCTGTTCAACACATGGTGGCAGGAACATCGCCATGAAGCCGGGATCCTCAGACAGTCCCTGTTTTACCTGGTGGCTATAACGTCATGGCTGACCATGCAAGGAGTTGCTCTATCGGATGTCACGGTGAGCAACGTTGGGCGCGACCCAATGTCAGGATCGTTACCACGGGCAGTGTTCTTTGACACGGCGGAGTGGACGACGCTGCAGGAGGATAGATACAAGCTATCAAGCGGCCTTGTACGCCTCCTGGAGAAGTATGATGAGGAGCTACTGGCAACCATACGTGGATTGGTCAGAACGTACGACGGCAAGGCCAGCGCGCTTTGGATGGCGTGCGTAGGCAATGTCGGGCCATTTGCCCAGCACCTGCTGGATGCCGGGATTGCAAAACGAGGATGGGATGGAACCCTACTTTCGGTTCCGGCAACAGAGATCCAGAAAATCACGCTGGGCATGCCACATGACGAAGCTGATGAGTGAGCAGCGTAGCCCAGACAAGAAACACGGCTAGTGGTCTGAGAAGCACCAACCGACTCAAGAAATACCGCCTCGGCGTGCTGCCTGAGGCAGTTTCGGCCTCGACTCTGGTCTGAGGGGTGCAAATGAAGGAAGTTCGGCCTCGGCAAGACCTGAGGGAATTTCGGCCTCGACCACGGTCTGAGGGCGTGGATTTCGGCCTCGACAAATGTCTGAGGGAAGTGAGGGCTAGTACCGGTAGTCTCACTGTGCAGAGTTTGTAGTTTGTATGTTTCACCCTCTAACCTCAGCCCCTTCGGGTGGCTACGCCTCGCAGCGTGCAGACGAAAGTTTTTGACTGCTTGGAGAATGTGGCTTTGCCTGGTAGCTTGCTGTCCTTGAGCTTCGTATTCGATTTCAACGTTCGCTCTTTGAGAGGTGGCGTCAGTGTTTGCTTCAGTGCTGTGAAGGAGGATGCCGGGACTTGCTTGCATGCCCGTTGAATTCGTGGCTCTCTCGGCGTCTGCGTTATGGCACTTGACACCTGGTCCAGCTTGACTCGTGTGCAGACGTTTTGCTCCGTTACCTGTGGGTGGCGGGGCGACACTTTCTGTAGGCAGGTAGTCTCTGCTGTAGATCGGTGTCCTGGTAGTTTTTCCTTTTCACTTAGCCTTGGAGCTGCGACCGTTTTGCCCGCTCGGAAAGAAAGTTTTTGACTGGCTCAAGTTTCGGCTCAGGGGCTTTTTTACAGGTGCCCTGCGGTAGGCGAGCTGTAGCTGTCTTAACGGGACTCGAGGCCTAACCTTTGTGGGGACAACAGGCCCGTTCGTAACCCCAGTTTGATCCAGCTGCTGCCATCTCCTGCCGGCCTTACCCTCTTCCTCTCAGTGAGGTTTGAGGTTGGGGTGTTCGCGCGCCTTATCCCTCTTCGGAGGTACCTCTTCATCCCGGCCTTAGGGCAGGGGCCCCCCGCACCACGGCGGATAGAGAGCGATCTCGCACCCCTGAGGTGCAGCGCTTTGGGGTAGCCGAGAGGATCCCCTGGAGGACTCGATCAAGCCCTTCTTGCAAGCCGAGTTCGAGGAGCAGCCCAGCGGCCGCGATCTCACACCAGGACAGAGGGTCACAAACCAACTCCGTGCCCTGGCTCGTTGGTCTAAGACCAGGAACGACTGGATAGCAGACGCGGGGAAACTTTTGTCGGAGACTCGCCGGCAGGAGTGGTGTGACGTGCTCAATAAGTCCAACCTCTGAGGCCAGCTCTCCTCCTTGGAGGTTCGCAAGTCGCAATGACGCGACAGTGGCAGTGGCACCCCCAGGCCACGCCAAAGCGAAAAATTATGTACTGTGACTGCGGCAACTGGATCCAAAAGGACAGAGTCCAGCCCACCAGCAAATGCTGGTATTGCAAGACGCCCTGGCTGCCCGCCCCAAGTCCCAGGCCCTAGGCAAGTGGTTTGGGAGTGGGACGAGCCATGGCCCCCCCCTGGGGGGTTACACTAGGGAGCCTAAGAAGAAGGCCCCAAAGGCCCCGAAGCCCAGCGTGCGTGATGCGGTGTGGTCTGCATGGAAGGACCTGCCGAACGAGGCACAGGCCGTCTTGACGAAGGCGGGAGTCAAACCGCCACCAGAAAAGGAAGAGCCGGAGAGCCAGGATGCTCTGCTGGACCTACTCAAGGTCCACCAAGACTCCCTCCCGGCGGAGGTTAAGGCCTACGTCGACTCTGTTGACAAGGCGGCCATGCCGTCAGATGATGAAGCGGCACGGTCGACCACTGACAAGCTGAAAATCGCAAGCGGGAAGCTGAGGGACCTTGGGTACCAAAAGCTGAGGCTGCAAGGGCGCATCAACACAGCCAAAGGGGTCCTCACGGAACTCTACTCAGACATGAAGGTGTTGCTCGCCGACCTGGTGCAAACGCAAAAGCGAGTTGATGAGTTGAGCAAGAATTTCAAGGATGCAATGTTGGCCCCCCCCACCGAGCCAGCCGTCCCGGAACTCGACCTCACCGAGGTGCTCAAGGATCTCGGAATCGCCTTAACTGAGGACCAATCCACGCGCCTTGTTGAAAGAGTGTCGGACTGGAAGCCGGTCCTGGCCAGCGCAGGCGCCAAGCCTACACACTGTCCGCATGCTCTAGTACGGCCGTTGGGCCCTCCTCCCTTACCCACCCTCTTAGCACTGAGCAAGAGGTTTTGCACGCTCTTTCACAGTCTTCCAACCGTTGTCCCCAGTGCGGGGTTTTTAACTTTGACCATACACAGCAGGGGTGGGTCCCTCGGTACCACCATTGCAGTGTTTGTTCCACGGCTGTTCTGCCCGCTCATTGCTCCCAACCCGTCAGTCCAGCGGGCAAATCCAAGGGCGCCATGTCGGGGCCCAAATTTTTTCCACCTGCCTTTAATGAGGATGAGCAGGAAACCTCACTGCTGCAACAGGCGTTTCGGAGGTTTGCTGACACATCCAACCCTGATTTTGAAGCCTACGCCATCGACCTTGCTGACGAGGTTCACGGAGTGTATCCGGAGTCATCGGCAGAATGGCAGCTGGCGTCGACAGGCGTTGCCATTGCGGCGGGGGATGACCCATGCCTCGACCCTAAGTTGGCCGAATGGGTCAGCCATGACCTGTCGCACCTCCATGTAAAGTCCTCCTCTCCAGCTGGCCCGATCAAGATCCTGTCTGCCAACGTCACGAGCTGGCGACAGGAAATCCAGGATTGGGCTACCCACCTTGAGCCGCACGCCTTCTGCGTCCAGGAAACCCACCTTTTGGGCGACAAACTCCACCTTGCTAAGGTTAACGCTGAGAAAGCAGGGTGGCAGGCCACAGGGTTCGCAGGGTCTCCTGGTGAAGGAACAGGCATCCTTGGTGGGCACGGTGCCTCACACCAGCAACGATCCAAAGGCGAGCCGGGCCTCATCACCTCCAGGATGGGCTCGGCTTTACCTGTGTCATTCTCCACATGCAAGGGATTCACCTTGCAGTCTTCTCGATCTACCTCCAATCGGGAGGTTGCATCAACACGGCCCCCAACAAAGGAATTGTAGCAGCCCTGATGGCTACGCTAGTGATGTGCACCACGCCGTGGATTGTAACGGGGGATTGGAACCAAGATGTTGAGGAGGTGCAGGACAGTGGCCTTGAGAAGAAGACCAAAGGCGTCATAGTGGCCCCAGAAGGGGCCACCATCGGGTCTGGCAGCACCCTAGACTTCGCCCTCATGTCTCGGGAAATTGCATCATGTACCAAGGTCACCCTCCTCGAGGAGGTTCCGTTTAAGCCTCACGCGGCCCTCGTCTTCACCATCGAGGTTGATCATGGGCGCCTTATCCTCCCCCAGCTCCAATCATTCCCTACGGTGGTCCAGGATGATGTTGCCCCGTATAGTAAGAGAGCTGACCTTACGGGAACGGGATGCATTGGCCACTGCCTCCTGGATGGAAATGTCGCTACAAAGGAGTTCGCGATGATTACAGCCTCGGTGGAGGCTGCTCTCTTCCCCCACACGAAGATAACCGGGTGTGGATGGAACGTCGAGGTATGTCACAAGCCATTGGTCTCTACCGTGGAGAAACGGCCTTGGATGGGAGTGGTCCAAGCCAGGTGGTCCAAGCTGGACACCCTCGTGGCGCAAAGAGACCAATGCGGCAGCGTTGTGCCACGTAGGCGGCTAGAGACACTGCTACAAAACAATGCAGAAGCTGACGAGCCCACCCTCGCCCTCAATGAGGTTGGTAACCTGGTGTACACCCTCCTGCAGGAAGGAGGTGCCGACCAGCAATGGGAGGAAGTCTCCGAGTTGATCAAGAGGCACCTGCAGGAGGCTTCGCATGAACATCAGGAAAAGCGCACGATGCAATACGAAAGTTGGCTTGAGCAGGCCCTCAAGGGTGGCATGCGGCCTGTATTCAGAGCCATTCGCAAGCATGAAACGGTGGTGGAAAGGCCGTTCGAGGACCTGCCACCGTACGACCGGCTCCTCGCCAGGAGGCAGTATTGGGCGAAGTTATGGCAGGGCAGCTCTCACCACCACGCCCAAGGATGGCCTGAGCTGGAGGCCCGAGCCAGTCAAGCGGCGCAGGCAACCACGCCGCTCACCCAGCAAGACGTCCTGGCGGCCTGCCGGCGTGGGCCTGATGGCTGGTGCACGAATATGCTGAAATGCATTCCGGAAGAAGCAGCGGGCGACCTTGCAGCCCTCTTCAGGGAGGTTGAGCTCACTGGCACCATGCCATTGCAGTGGACAATCAGTAGCATCATCCTTTTGGCCAAGAACTCGGAGGTCGAAAGGCCGATTGCATTGATGCACGTGGTCCTCAAGTTGTTCCTGAAACTTCGCTACCCGCTGGTTAACCAATGGATCCAGGACATTAAGGACCGGATCTGGTGGGATTCGGCCAAAGCCGGTGTTTCCTGCATCGACATCAGTCAAGAGAGTCCTCCTCGCTGAGGTTTCCAAACACCACCATGAACATAGAATCACGCTGTACATCGACCTCACGACCTTTTATGAGACGATTTCCCACGACAAACTCGTTCACTCCGCCTTGTCATTGGGATTCCCTCCCCAGCTCCTCCGCTTGGCCCTGGGGGCCTACACAGGAGGGAGGTTGCTGATCAGTGGAGGGGTGGTCGCTCCCCCGGTGTACGCCCAGCGTGGGGTGTTAGCCGGCTGCTCGCTGGCGCCGGCGTTGTCCAAAGCTGCGCTCTTCCCAGTCTGTGACCGCCTCACGCAGGAGGTACAGATCACAGACATGGACATCTACATCGACGACATAAGCGTGGATGTGCAAAGCGAGAGCCACACCAGCGTGGCAGTGAGAGCGATCAAGGCGCTCCGCAGCCTCCGGCAACACCTTGGTGATGAAGGGTTGGTGCTATCCAGCACCAAGTCCTGCTTTGTGTGCTCCTCCCCTGAGAGCGAGAAAGCGTTGCGCGCCAGGCTTACGGAGGCCGACCCGCCCAGGTCACTAAGGATTTGGGGCTGGACAGCGCGCAGGCGCGCAGGCGCCGGTTGCCTACCATGAAAAAACGCATGTCAAAAGCCACCGGCCGTCACCGTGCCCTCAGTAAACTGAGGTTGCCAAAAAACAAATCGGCCCGAGTATACCGCGCCAGCGTCTTCACAGCATACACGTTTGGACACCAAGGGCAAGGTGTCAGCCCCAAAAGGCGTAAACCGCTACGAGCAATGGCGGGTACCAGGGCCAATCGTGTAAAAATGGGGTCGCTGGAGGTGGCGCTTAGCCTTGGTGAGAACAGGGTCCAGGACCCCGGGTGCTTTGGCCTGAGGGCCAGACGGGCGCAATGATGCACACCAGGCCTGGGAGCTCTCATGGGAAAAGATGGGCCGGTGCAAGGAACCCTGGCGTATTGTTTCTGGCCCCATTATGGCCATGCAAGCGTACCTCAGAGAGCTTGCAGTTGAAGCCCCCTCCTTACAGGTCTGGAGGTTTGGAACGCTCAATGTTCAACCTGGCCCTGGGCGTGAGCAACAGCTCCTCGTTGAAAAGCCCCTCCACAAGAGGTACACTGAAATGCAGTGTCGGGCTGTAGCGGCAACCACGTCCGCCCGAGGGGCCGAAGGGGGACTGGACTGGACAGTCGCCCGTAGGTTCTGCGGGGGCCTCAGGTCTGTCTGGCAAGGGGGCTTCTACACGAGCGACAAGTCCAAGCAGCTCTGTCCGGCGTGCAAAGAGGAGGCTGACCTCCCGCACATTTTGATCCATTGTAAATGGTGGGCCCGGCAAGTGGATGCCCCAGCCCTCCCTACGTGTGCGGAATCCATTCGCGCGGAGGTTAGTCAGTTTCCCTGTTTCTTTGACAGAGGCCTCGTCCCTTCCGCACTTACCAGCCACCCTGCCCCCTGAAGGTTCTATGGGCACTCGAGCGACAGGAGTGTTCTGCTCACCTCCGGTTGCTGGCCTGTGGTTTGGTACGGATGCCAGTGGCGGCCAGGCGTCCGGCGACCCCCGGTGCTGTATGGTGGCCTGGGCAGTCATTGCGGACGAATGGTGCGCCAAAGCGGAGCAGTTTCATGTGCGGGGTACCCTGTCCGGGGTCCTAGGGAATGGCTTCTCCATTGCGCAAGGCGAGGCCTGCGCCCTGGCCAAGCTGCTGGAGTACACGCAGGACGAGGTGTTAGTGGCAGTGGACTCCAAGGCAGCCATCCGTCAGTCTAAATTTGCCAAGCTCAGCCGATCATGCCTCCACTCCTGGGGGGCGCAATGGGAAGAGCGACGACGACTGACCACAGTCTGGACGCGCAGCCACCGGAGCCTGGACCAGTTTGTGGCGGAGTTTGGGCGGTCCAACCTCTGGGCATGGTTTGCCAACCAGCGTGCGGATGTCTTGTGCGGGTCCAGGGCTGAGGAGTGCCTCAGCCGGGCGCATGTTGAGAAAGTCAAACGCCTTGACGCAGCAGCAGCCCAGTGGCAGCAGGCATTGGGCCGCCGTGCCCAATTCATCTTCGGCCATGACGAGGTGCACCCGTGCGCACCGCCTAAAGACGCATCCAAACGTGGAAAAAAGAAGGAGCGCCCTGCTCGTAATGTACGAAATACCATCGCGAAATTGCCCGTGAAGCAGACCCCCCTCAACAAGAAGATGAGGTTGCAGCAGGCAGCCGAAGGAAAGGAGTCAGGGCACACCTGGGCCTTCAAACCGCACCCCACTAATTCCTCCATCCAATGTGAGGTTTGTGGGTTGTATGCACAGCAAGTTCACCCTGTTGCCACCCTTGACAGGATTATTGCTACGCCGTGCATCAATTTAGGCGCGGGCGGGGAGGTCTTTACTCGTTTTTGGGACTGCCACCCCTCCCATCGCATGGTTTCGTTAGGTAAAGTTTGGAAGTGTGAAAAATGCCACGGGCAACAACAACCAGGGCAGGACTCCATCTCAAAAATTTTAGGGGTTGAGTGCAAGGGCGCTAGTCGGGTTAAGGGCTCCACCAAGCTGGTTCCTGTCCCCAAGTCCCAATGCCTACTCAGTTTCCAGGCGGTGAGCCCTAATGTTTCTTCCGCAGCCGTTGCCACAGGGAAGGTAGCCGGTAGCTGTAGGGGGGTAGCACAGCAGCCCAGCAGCACCCTTCGGAGGAAGCCAAGCCTCCGACGCACTCCCCCGCCTAAGGCGGTTGCCACCGGCCCACGGCGCCCTTCCCAGGAAGGTTTGCTCCGCCCACCCCCGCCAAAGGCGGTTCCTAAGACCAGCCCGCGCAAGGGCGCCCACGAAGGGCAAACAGCTTCCTTCGGCGCAATGAGGCACAGAGAGAAGCTGGAGGCGCTCAACCGCAAAAGGGCGGAGGAAGGGCGTCCTCCACTCACGGCAGAGGTGGGCCAAGCCCAAAAGCCAGCCGCGGGTCCCTCCGACCCCGCCCGCTAAACGTGAGCGGTCCTCACCCGAGCAAGCCGACCGCGTTGGCCAGCCAGTGGGTGTTGCCAACGTCCAGGCCCGAGCAGCCAGGAAGGTCAGACACGCCCTTCCGCAAGGACTAGGCCCAGGCAGCTGGCCCAAGGGTCCGACGCGCAGAGCCACCCAGACGCAGCGCCCTCTACGGAGGTTGAGCAAGCCCCCCCCCCCACCGCTTCCGCCGATGGGGCCCTCGCCGTGCCAGGCGCCCACCCTCCCAAGGAGGAGGTAAGTCCAGACGAGGAGGCCCTCCCGGCAGTGCCACCTCCAACTGCGGAGGTTAAAGCAGAGCCCCACAAGGAGTCTAGTGAGGAGGCGGAGGAGTCTGAGGAGTTAGTCACGGCCAGCGAAGAGGGCCATCCCCCCCAGCAACGAGCTGCCTCCTCCTAGGAGTCCTCCTCAGACACTGAGCTCCTGCTTGATGCCCCTCCGTCTTGGAACGGCGTTCTGGGCGAGGAGGTTCTGGAAATCCGGGTCGACCGGAAGGCGAGGTCCAACAACCGTGCCAACTGGTTGGCACAGTGTGGGGACCTCTTTGAGTTCCCCCATCATGTGGGGTACCAAGCCAAGTACCTGGGCCATGGCGGATCCCGCCTTGTGATGGCGGCTCCGCATGAGCCCAACTACGTCTGGAAATTGACCAGCGGGGGCCAGCCACCACGCTCATGGGAGGGAAGTGGAGTTCAGCTCCTTCTACCAGGGGTTCCTCCCCAACCACTCCGGGCGCGGCAACGTGACCATAGTTGACTGGGGACAGGTCCTGGTCGACATCGTCGAGTTCGAACGACTCCTGCCGCCCCCTGCTACACCCTCCCCGGTGGAGGTTTTACACATGGCATGGATCCTGGGCACCGCTGCCCTCCTTGGATTCAGTGCCAGGGACGCAAACCCCCGCAACTGGCGGCGCAGGGCCACCAAGGCCCCGGGCGACGCCCACGAGCTCGTCCTGGTAGACGTAGCTGGCTGGTCACCCTCCGAGCGAGGTTTTACCCCAGACACCCCTTTCCCGCAGCGCATGCGGATCCTTTCGTGGTGGAATTGGGTTGAAGGAAGCCAGCCGGTGGTTTCCAAGTGGCTCCGTTCCGTGTTGCAGGCCCACCGCCGCGATTTACGGATGATCTTCTCCTTCTTGTACTGGCAGTTGGTGGCTTCCGGCCAGGCCACACCGGTGGTTGCGGCACTCCGCCAGGAGTGCCTGTCCTTTACCCTTACTGGGGAGCCGGCAGTGGCAGCCCCCCTCAAAGGGACCCTTCAGCCCTCCGACTGGAGGTTGCTCAGTCTCAAGCCAGTGGAGGCAAGCCAACTGCTCGGCAAGGAAGTGTTCGGCCTGCCCCCCCTAAACCTGTGCCTCCTCACCGCCTTCCCCTCGGGGGTTTTTGTGAGGTTCCGCCACTTCACCGCCACCCCCCTAGGGGTTTTTCTGTGAGGCCGTAGGCTGGCACCCTCTTCGGAGGTTTAGGGAGTAGAATTGCTGGCCCACCTGTGGGCAGCGATCGAAGTGTCACTTGCCGACCTCCGCTTCTACCAGGACTGGATGCCACCCTCGAGGTTCCCTGTCCTTGACGGCGCAGTGACGAATAAGAGTGAGGGTACCGCAGCTTAGCAGTAGCTCAGTACCGACTGGGAGAATACCTCCCCTCGCAAACTGCACTCTGTTCGAAAGTGACGAAGAAAGTTTTTGACTTCCTTGTGAGTGCCTTTACAGTTGACAGGATGTCTTGCACATGTGACATGAACCACGAGTTTGCATTGCGTGAGTTGAGAACTGTGCTTGAACCGTTTGTTTTGTTTTAGCAGAAACAGGCATGGACATAGCATGTTTGGAGCTTGGCTTGAAAGTGTTTCTTGCTTTGAGCTTGACGTGAGATGCTTGGAGTGTGCATGATGAGCAGAGAAGCACTCGAGATGCTTTAGGCTAAGGAGCATCCTTGAAGAAGTGCGTGTTGCTCTGAGTTTGCTCTTCAAACCTTGGCCGCCGACCCTCGCTTCGCTCGTGTCGTCGTACTGAGGTTCGAGCAGAGTGGCTGTGCACTTGTATGCTTGTTTTGCTGAAGCACGGAAGTCCTGAGAAGCATTAGGACGTTTGCATGTGTTCCTCCTTTGTTTAACAAAGTTGAGATGGAATTCACGAAAGTGAAGCTGCGCTGACTCTGCGAGAGACTTGCCGAACACCTCTGGTGTTTTGGCTCAAGCGTGGAGTGAAAAAGAGCTCTGCGTTTTTCACACGGATAGGGTGGTGTGAGAAAGATCAACGGCCAGCCCACCGGTGAATGATGAGGTTGTGCGAGCGAATCCAGCTTCGCTTTGGAACAAGAAGCCTGACGCTCCACTCTTGACAAAGACACAACTTTGGCAAGCACGCAGTTGTGATTGCGCTAAAGTATCGCTTTAAAGCCAAATGGAACTCAGGAAATTTTTGAATGCCCCCATTCCACGTGCTGGGTCGTCCTCTCAGAGGGAAGGCGGCTCATGTTCTTGTCGCCCAGTTCTGCCTCAGGGAACTCGACCGCAGTAAGAACTTGATTTGCAGCCCATCTGCAAGCATAGACCTGGCAGGATCGTAAGCACGCCAAGCCAACAGGCTCCCGGTACCTAAAAAGCACACTGCCCAAGTGCCAACCAGCAGTTTGGAGCTCTTGCGTGGCCATAGCTACGTGAGGACGCCCGGACTCACACAGCGCAGACTGCCACTCTGTGTGCATTGTGCTTAGTGTGCTTGCAACTTTGTTGCCAACCACAATGGAGTTCTGAGTGCTATTGCTACGGCCCTGGCGCTTGTGTGGGAACTGTCTCTACGGACGCGTTAAGCAGTTTAGGTGACGGAGGTTCCTTGCCTTACGGCCTACCCATACTTTCGCTTAATGTCTGTACCAGACGTGGCGCAGCATTGCTTTGGGTGACGGGCTGCTGAGCAATTGGTGCAGATAGGTTCTTGTTTGCATTGTCTCACCATGCTGGCCGGGCGTTAAGTTGTCTTGCAATAAGGGCCTCTGCGCTAGCGGTTGCTTCTTTGTAGTTACGACTTCTTTTCACTTGCTGGCTTTGTACAGTTTTACGTTTGGCGCTTTTGGTTTTGGCGGGTTGCTGCCGGGTTTTTGTGGTTGTGTTTGTGGTGGTTGTGTTTTGTGGTGGTTTTGGTGTGTGTTTGCTTTGGTTTTCGCGCCTGCGACTGTTTCACCTCTAGTGTTGAGACCCACAAGAACGGCCTAGCGCTGCTGATGTACTAAAGAGGCGTCGGTTCAAAAAAAATGCCTCAAGCTCTCTGAGCTCTGCAACACCTGGACTTGGAAGCAATGCTTGGCAGCAATGCCCCGCAGCTCGATCGTGTTTCTCTCACCGCAGGGTACGGCTTCCTTACCATGCACAGTACATCGCTGATTTGTTCTTTGCTGTGGCAGGACTCCACAGTGTCTGAGCTCTCTGCACTCAAAGGGTCTCGTCCTTTCCCTACTAGCACAAAGCCGATGGGGAGGTCCAATCCTGGCAAATCAACACGGCTGCCAATACGCTGTGGGGTGCGGCAAAGACCAAAGGAGCGCAGCCAGCTGGCGTGCCAATCCCCAAGAGCGTCCCCCCCACTGGAGACAAATACCGGTCTGCAATCTGGTTGTCGCATGGAGAAGCAGCGTCTTCTAAACTCTCTGCTACAGTTCCCTGCTCTTGCGTAAGCACTTCTTCTGTCAAACATGGCTTGGCTGTGCTTGGAGCTTGGAGCTATCATATAGTTCTTCGATGTTGTTGCTCAGGGCTGGCCCTACTGGCTGATCACCATGCCCACTGGCTGACCACCATGGGGCACGTTCGGCCAGCCCTGCCTGCTGGAAGGGTTGGCCCCTGTCCTAGTGGCTTCTCTTGTGATCTTGCGATGCGTGACCGACTGTTGAAGGCGTGGCAATCCGGCATTGCTTGGCTTGGTGGCACCGCTGACTGAGGTTCGCGGATATCTCTGCAGATTGACGTTGAGCAAATGTCTCTAAGATGGTGGTTTTGACTTTCTGGCATACATTCGCATTTTGCGATCTCCCTGCACAGCTTGGTGCGGCATGGATGTGCTCTTGGACTATTTCGACGACGTTGAGTACTGAGCGCGCGGGGAACCTAGTAGTTTGGTCGCTTCTGGTTTCTTTTGGTTGTTGCTGGGTTGTTCGCTCGGTTGTTTGGTTGGTTTGGTTGGTGCTGTTGTTCGTCCTTCTTGTTCTTCCTGCTTCTCACGGCGATCTGTTAGTTGCGAGACCCGCAAGAACGGCCTACTGTGCTACTGATGTAGTAAAGAGGCGCCCGCTTAAAAAAAAATGACTCCACCCCTGCAAGTGCTGCGTCAAGCAATCCTACCACTGCGATCAAACTCAGCTTCCAAGATCATGGACTTTGCATGCAGTGCTTTGTTGATTCCTTGACCAATCGCTCTAAAGCTCTGTCTCACCTGAACACAATGGCACGGTGCCTGCATGCACACGTCTCTGCACTACGGATGCGTGCAGAAGCTGAATAATGCGGTGGACTTTGAGCAAGGAGCAACACAAGTTGCTTCAACTTACCCGACGACGCCAACTGGGTCTGCTCTTCAGCATTCTTCAACAGGGTGACCAAACTCTGCAGGGTCTTTGCTGTCAAGGTTTGAAGACTCAAGTGATTGATGCACAGCTTGCTTTGGTGCTTGTAATTTGTTGAGCTGAGTGATTGCAGACCTGAGACACACTGAACATTGATTTTGCAAAATTTCATCAAGAGGGGGCTTAAGGGGTCCCCTGCTGACTCATCACGCCGCGATCCTTCGGGAAGCCGAAGGCCGGTTGGTTGGTGAAACTCATGGTTCTGCTCAACAGACACCCTCAGTAAGCCAAGTCAACGAGTCATAGCAATGCCCATCAATGGAACGCTGTGCTGGCAAAGCAACGGCGCAGCGAGAGGAATTTTGATTTTGTCAGTTTTGAAAGCCTTTGTTCGGATGCTGCAGCTGCACAAAACTTTACACGAGGGACGTGAAAACCTGGAGAAACTGGAACGGTTTCACATGACCTCTATATCCCATGATCGCAAAACTTCTGAACCAGCGCGTGGCCACGTGCTTGGTGAGATGTCGCGACATCTGCCACAACTTCTGTAGACGAAGCCCATGAAACCTTCATATATCGGCAAACAAAGCACAAAAAAGCACTCGCTGGAAGACTTTTTTTTGAAGCGGACGCCCCTTTACCACATAAGCAGAATAGTGGCGGTCTGTGCAACGAAGTGACAAACAAAACTACCCAAGCCAGAAGCAGCACCACAACAAGAGACAACGCAACGCAACGGCAAAAGACAGAAAACGGAAAAAAACTCTCCATTTCTCGAAAAGCTCCACATGTGAAGAACATTGCACGACGGACACACGTTGCAGGCGCCAACGGAATTATGCCCGTCTACTCACGCACGTGCCTAACTCAAGTCCTTACAAAAGCAAAGAAACACTTGAGTTCAAGCAACAACTGAAAAGGCATCCGAGTTACATGTGTGGGCGGAGTCGGTAGAATTCATATAGTTGGCGGAGTCTTTTAAGGTCGAATTTCGCTGCCTGGAGATATTGCGATCATAATCTTGGCCAGCTGAGCAGTCATGCTTTGCGTCGATCTTAGCAGACTGCGCCGGGCTTCTTTCGGCTGGCTTGTCGTAAAATCAGTACGAATTCTGCGAATTCCGAGATGGAAAATGCGCTGCAGTTCAGAGTCTCGATCTCTGGTGGGTGCAGATGCAGTGAGTTGCATCACAGCCATTGGCTGCAGATTGGCTTGCGAAAGGGCTGTCATCATTTGACTTGATACCGATGGAGATCGATTCTCCGGGATGACACAAGTCATTGGTTGAAGAAGCTTTGTACAGTTCGCTATGCTGAGTCTGGATTGCATTCTCGAATCTCGAGCATTGGCACCTCGAGCCGGTTTGGCAGTCGCTCATATGCCTCGATTCAGTACTGATCTGATTCAGATGTGGCAAGAGACCGTGTTAGGAACGTTGATCAGATCAGCGTTGCAGGGACAGGTCGCAAATAAGCTTACTCGGCGTGCCGAAATTGTGCTTCACTTTGGAGCAGGGGCTCTTGAGACATGCTGCTCTTCCCGCCGTGTATCATGCACTATCAAAGCTGTGCTTCAGGTAATTACGGAGAACAAGGAAATGCAGATTTGTATCAATATTCTGGTGATGTGAGAGGCGCATTTTCAAGGGTAGAAAAAGCCAGAGCCAGTGATTGAAAGGGGACCTCACAGTTCAGGAGCAATGACCATGTTACTGGCAACGAAGAAGTTTTTATAGTTGTGTTTGGTACGTTGGTCAAAAGAGTTGTTTGCCGCTGGTAGCGAAGCAACCCCGGAGTTTGGCACGCGTTAAACTGCACCCGCGCAAACGCATTTGTTCTCGGCTGTTCCGCAGCCCTGGCCGTTTCCAAATTCTGGTTTTGACGCCACATGGACACAGAGAGAGAGAGAGAGAGAGAGAGAGAGAGAGAGAGAGAGAGAGAGATGAGTCAGCCGGGGGAGATCGTTTCAATGAGTCTGCAGTTCGGAAATAAACACGTGTGCTTGACACGAGAAGTTCACGTTTTGACCCCACATGGACAAAAAGAAAGAGAGAGAGAGAGAGAGAGAGAGAGCGCAGCGTTGCGGATGCCGTCACATGTCATGAAATGTGTGAGTCTTCGAGTCAACGTGTCAAACTCCCTGAGACTCCTTCAACATGTTTGTTTGAGCATTGCAGGTCCATCCGTGAGATAAGAAGTTTTTTTCTTTATCGTCGTTTGCTTTATTTTTTTGTGACACTTCCAGTTTCTTCCTCGAAAAACTTCCAAATAGCCGGGGGCCGCTTGACATAAGATGCCAGATGCCCTTGACCGTTTCGGTTTCTGTCGTGAGTCCATAAGTGAGGGTTCCAGTGAGTGATCGAGTGAGTGCGCGAGCGAGTGCGTGGCGTGAGTGAACTGAACCACAATGGCACGAACCACAATGGCACCCCGTGGTATACATATTGCAGCAGGGTTCGCCGGCACCGGGGAACATGTTTGGGAAAACGGGCTGCGCTGTTTCAGCAGGAGGCTGGCACTGGGGCATCACATAGGTTTTCTATGGTTTTCTCAAATGGGGTTTTGGGGGGCTCTTGTGCCAGAAGTTTTTCAAGCGTGCTTGCGCGAACAGAATGTTTTAACATGGGCGAGGTAGCTTCCCAAACAACGTTTCGTACCACATCGGGGGGGGTTTACCTAGCATGAAAATTCCTTGAAAAGGGTGGCGCCAACGCTTCTTTCGGAAACCAAAAAAAGTTTTACCGTCCCACGTAGAGTGGAAGGAACTTTATCCGGGGACGAAGCTGAACATGTCACAGCACGTCGCAGCCATCGATTGGACTGCCGTTCCCGGCAAGCCACCATAGCGCAGTTGCGCCGTCAGAGCCAATGTAAGGTGTCAACCCTAACCCACCAGTAAAACCTTGATGTTGATCCACCTGAAGAAACAAATCTTCTCCAGCCTTGCAGCTGGCCAAGCCCGCAAAGCTCCATGTGCGGATGTGCGGGACGACATGCCATCCGAGACAGATTCAGCAGGCGGGTTTCGCGTTTTTTTTTGTTTTTTGCGCTACTGGGCTCGCACTTCCTGAGTCCCACACCCAATGATGCAGCATGCGTCCACACTGACATCACGGCTAATGTCGCGGAAATTGTTCTTAGCGGTTTGAAAACTTTTTGGAACGATTGAAAACGGATTTGACGGGAAAGTTTATGGAACATGTTTGTAAAAGTACAATGCAAGTATTATTCCAGCGTTCCCACACCACAAGCCCCTCCCACACATCAGTGCTCCCCGAATCTTGACAACCTGGGAGGATCATTGGCTGGACAGCGCTTGCCTTATTGGTTGGTCGAGATGAAGGCTTCGTTGTGAATTGAACAATGTGCTGGCCAGTTGAGGCCAGAAGAAGTCGGAGGCATTGCCAGAAAGGCGTGGGACCCTACCCGATTCTTTCTCCATGTGTTTTGGCTGCTTAGGTTCGCTACTGGTTCATTGATATTGACAAGCATCAATCAAACACAAATTATCAAGGCATGAATGGGGCTATGAACTTGTCTCGAGGTGCTAGTTCTGCCTTGCCTGGTATGGTTCCTCTGCGAGCCTCGACCTCACAAGATGCAGCGAGCCGGTATTGCCAAAACCTCCCGAAGCAAGCCGAGCCGGCTGTTGACCTGAGTTTCTGGCTCCCACTTGTATAAAGACAAGCAGCACCCTTATATCACAGATATGTTGCTTCGCTGCCTCACATCTCTTATCGAGCACACCACCTTTGTCAATGACACCTGTAGCATCAACAATGGGCGTCCTGATGGCGGCAGTGCCCATCGAAGGCACCACAACAGCAACAACAGCAGTAACCAGTTAGACGCTGCCATGCACACACCTTTGTATGCGGCTGTCAGCCATGCGGCTGTCAACCATGCGGCTTGTGGCTGGAGCCACTTGGATGTTCTGTTGGCTGAGGAACACCGAGGGAACACCGAGGGAAGACAAAGCTCCCCATGATCACCGAAGGTACGCGGAAGACTTCCGCAAGGCTCTGTGCTTCTGGGAACCGACATCTCATGACATCTCATTTCCTCACTGCACGGAAAACGAGGGACATGGAGGGACATGGTTGTGCATGGCCCGGAGCCACCTTGACAGGCGAAGCGGCTCAGACAGATCAGCTCCCTGCAAGGCCTGACAGTTATCGCTGCTCTTATCACTGCACTCTGACCTGAAGCTCTGAAGCCCTGAAATTCCTCAGTGCTCTATTGGCAGGCTTTGCGACAGAAATGGCATGTCAGTGCCAGCGTTGCTGCACTTGCAGGCTACTCGGTCAGTGTTGAAGAGGCTGCAGTTCTCTGCAGAAGTTGAAGTTGATCCTTAGAGGCTTTGAGGGTGTTCAAAAGTCTTCGATCCACATCTTGAGTTAGAACATGTCTGTCATGGCAGGTCCATGTTCCACATACAAACCTTTCGCCCCGAGTATCCCGAAGTCATGTTTTGAGATGACACCCCCAGATGCCACCGGCAAGTGCCTATCAAACTTGCGACCCAACATATCCCAACTTACAAGCGCCAGGGCTTTTGAGCCCTTCATCAGAACGGAGTGCAGGTCAGAACGGAAAAGTTCTCTTCAATCAATCTTGGGGACCTGTCATGCCTGCTCAGCGTTTTAATATAAGGTTTCGTCGAACGTGTTGTTGCCCTGCTACATCTTGCTACTTCTTGTTACAGGCTGCCACAGTTTTTCGGCACTCAATGCCTGAGCGCCAGGCTTTGCTGCAGCTCGCCGCGGCGTGAGCCGAGGACATTGCTCGATGTCTGCTCGAGGCAAGAATGCTAGTGTCGCCGCATAACGAATGGGTTTCTTGTGACGGTGGCTAATAGACACAGACTATGGAGCATGGCCAATTAGAAGCCTTTTGTGTTCGAATGGCACAGGTGATGCTGATACTGATGTGTCTGATGTGTCTGATGTGGCCGAGCTGGAAGAGCAGCTGCGCTGTGCGGTGGAAGCCGAAAACTATGCAGTCACCTGGCTTTTGAGAAACTTGGAAGACGAGCCCCCTCCGCTGACTTTTTGTTGGGAGAGAGCGGCCGAGCAAGCCCAAGGAAGCCGCGCGACTGCGCGACGAGCTTCAGTTTAAGTCCCTGGATGCGGAAGCTGCTGTCTTAAGTGCCAACCGCGAGTTCTACGACTCCTTCAGGCAGAGAGAGCACAGAGTGAGCACAGAGTGAGCACAGCTACCTGCAGAAGTCTCGTGTCTTTTCTAAAAATGAAAGCACCTCTTTCGAATGTACATGTAGTTGCCGGGAAGACAGATCTTGCAACAAGGCCTTTAACACACAAGGCCCCAAGCCTCCAAAACAGGCTTACCCTAAAGCCGAACCCGCTCATCACCTTGATCAGGCAAGTCATGCACCGAATCCAGGTTTTTGTTGATAGCGGGCCACAATTCCTTCCCTGAGCATCCCTGAGCCCCTCAAAGCCACCCGGGGTGTCCGCAGGGAGGGCAGCGTGGCCCGCATGGTGGCGATCTGGCTCGAAAGCCCCCGGACCCATGGCACCGGAAACCAGCTCACGTTTCAAAGCCCCGTAACCCCCACAGGTCCCTACAGTGTTGTTGCCAAGGGGATGGGCCAGAAAAAACACGGCCCCCCTTCAAGAACAGCCCCTGTGAGACTGAGGAGCTGCTGTGTGCACCCGGCGAGGCCTCCACTGCACGGCTTCTCATCCCTCCGTAAACAGCAAGATTGTCTTTTCATTCTTGTTCCGTATTTCACACTCTGGGGGGTTCTCGGGTGTTTAGGGTTTAGAAAGGTTTAGAAGATTCCTCGAGGGCTCTGTTAGAAGCATTTTGCATAGGCAAAGCAACTGTAGCCACTGTCAATTTAAAACAGTGCGTTGAGGTCTGCTGCGGCGACCCACTGCCGTGGTTCATCATAATACAATTTCTCACCCCCCCCCCGGCGCAAGAAAATCGATATTCAGAGCTTCACCCGAGTCCATTAAGGATACGATGCAGTGGCAGACTCCTGGAAGATCATCCTTACAGGAGGAGGCGCCTGTCCGCCTGCAGTCGGCAGTCGTTTGATGCCTTTGTTTCTCTCGAAGATCTCAGCGTCCATGTGTTTTTGCTTCGCGGCTCTTTCGTGTGACGAGGCGGCATGAACATCGAATGCCTGCAGCCATCAGTTGCCATGTGCGGCAACACTGGCCGAGTTGTTTGTGCTGGACTAAGTGCAGCGAATATTGCAGGCACAGGTTTTAGCACCTACAAGAATTCAAAAAGTCTGCACTGAAAGGTTACGAGCGCGTCGAGGGTGGGATGGTTTTGCTGGCGGTGAACCTGTTTGAGCGGACACCGAGTCTTGCTGAGCAGAGGTTGCCACATGTTGCCACACGTTGCCACACGTTGCCACAGCCATGACATCATGATGTGGTTTTGGAGTGTTTTGGACCCTTCTCAGCACCTTTCGTTTTGGCTTATTTTGGCACTCAGGAGTGGCTGGAAAATGTCCTTCCACCATGCAGCCCCGATTAGCCCAGCTGTAATGGCATTGTGACGCGCGTTCGCCGCTGCAAAAGACGGACCCAAGGCTTTGCAGATTGCACTGTCGAGAGAGAAGCGCAAGTGCAAGCCGTTTTTGAGAAGAGCCCTTGCAAACATCCACAGCAGTGGAGGCACAATCGCACGCTGCACTACTAGCCTTTGATGCCCAGGTCCAGCATTGCAGCCTTGGCAATGGTCGATCACACGCATTGGGGTGCTGGGCTAAGCTTCGGTGATTGACGCATAGATGTTGTCCTGGCATGTTGATGACGAGGCTTGTTAAAGGCCCAATTCGAAGATCAACCGGTTTAGGGTCAAAATTTTCGACACCCAGGCCAGCTGCATTCACGCGGGGTGCGCCCGCTCGGGGGTGCTTGCAGACTTGGACTGCGCAGGTTGTGCTTTGGTACTCGTATTGGTTTTTCGCCCCGCCATGAACTACTTTGTGCTGATTGGGGAGCTCATAAATTTCGATTCGAGGTCGGTGCATGTTGGCTAGGGCCCTTCCCTTGGAATAGCTGTGGTCGAGCGGTAGGGTGAAAGAATCCTTAGGCAGGGGTGTGAAGATTCGAGAGCTATGGCTAGGGATGGCCAAGGTCAAACTTTGGAACCGTCGCATCCCCAAAGCTACCTGCGCGAGGACATCCCTAGGACCTAAACACCCCCAGACCCCAAGGCTAAACAATCCTCAACCCACAAAAACCTGAAAAATCTCCAGCCTGGGACCTTCACTGCAGTCCTTCCGCGCCCTTGTGTCTGCCATTCCAGCCTTGCCCGCCTGGTCCCCAGGACAGGGACCTCTCGCTTCAAACGTTTCAGAACTTGAGGTCACTGGTTCAAGGTTGCTTTCAGTCAGTACCCTCTCATGGTGAATATTTGTTATGCAAATGGCGTATTCATTGTTTGCCTCGAAGGTTTTTAACAATTCACCTTATGCAGCGCAAGGGTTCAGGTCTTGAGCTTCGCAAGGCTGGTGCTTTGTTTTGGGTCACTTCCGAGCGGACGTAGAACTGCTCAGGCGTGGGGTGCTTCAGAGCCCAGACAGGGGCAATCCACGAAACTACCCACGCTCTAAAAGGCCTCTGAATCCTCAACTCTCCCTCCACATTTTGCCTTCTTTAGGTCTCCACGAGCCTCCACATGCCTCCACATGCCTCCACATCACATCATCACCACATCATCCCGAGGCTGGGGTCCTTCCACGGCGCCGGCTGTGGACGTGGCCTCGGTGTGTACAAAGCGTCAGCCGGAGTGGATTTCAGGGCTTGGCGGCTTTGGTTAGGGTTCGGGTTTGAGGGCTTAGCGGTTTCGTTTGCAAGGCGTAGAGTTTGCGTCCACCTAGGGCTTTTGTTTTTGGTTTCAGGCAAGGACCCTGTCAGCGGCGCATGCGGGCCAACTTCACCCGAACCCAGCGCCTAGACCCTACCCAATCAACAGCCCAGCACAAGTCGATCATTCAATGTCCTTCAAGTGGCGGGTTCCAGGGTGTGGTAGGATGGGCCATGTACTACGAGATTCGGACTACTATCCTTACTCAGGTGCCTTTAGACACTCAAAATTGAACCCTAAGCCCGAAACCCTAAGTTGATCTTGGCCTCAGTTGGCCTGAGGAAGCGGCTGCTCCTTGGAGCGATGGAGCTTCGCGGACAAGGCAAGGCTTCAAGAGGAGCTTGAGGACCTTCTTGCGTCGGAAGCCCTTCAAACACCCCCGAAGTCCTAAAGCATGGGAAACTGTACGAAATTGTACTAGACTTGCAATGATGGAGGGCCATTTGTAGATCGGCACGCAGCTTTGAAGGGCTTCGGGGAGGATGGAGGGGACAGGCATGCGCTTGCATAATCCTTCGGCCGCTTGTCGGCATGAGGAGCCATTGAAGCGTGTTTAGGGCTTGTATATTGCTGGTCGGCATGACTATCCATTGATTTCGTTTCGGATTTCAGGGTGAAGTCCTCATTTTAAGCAGAATCGCAGACCCTAACCTCACAACTATCTCAAGCTGTCTAGTGTTTGTTCCGCCACAGCTCAAGCTTTCAGCTTGGAGTTTCAGCTTGGAGCTTTCACGCACTTTCGACTCGAATCAACGCTGTTTGCTCCCAGCTGCAAGCACCCGGGTCCTCCCTGCAAACCCTGAGCCAAAAACACCTCTATAGACAATCTTGAGGTCTAAAGCGTTGACCCACAAAACAACGTGTATAGAATATTTGATATGCCCTAAACCCGCATCAATGCACTAGTTAATACCCTGACACGGGCTGAGACAGCAGGATTCAACCTCCATGATGCCGCCCATCGGCGTTCCCAAATTCCGGGTCCCCCCCCCCCTTCCCCTCCGCAACTAATTTACCCCAAGATATGTGAACCCTTATTAACCCCCAAAAACTGTACTTGCCAAACTAGGGTACCCTCCTGTAATTTTAACCTTTATGACCCTCCCCCCGCAACGTAAGGTGAGGGGTAGGGTCCCGGATTCACGAAAGTACAGATCACATGGTCTGGGACTATTTGGGTTTAGGTTCAGGGTTTAAGGTGTAGGGTTTAAAGTTTAACGCTTAAGGTTTAAAGCCAGGTGTCTCAACATGGTACCTGAAGGGTTGTCTGAGGTTGAGGGTTTTGTGCTTAGGGGCCCTAAGCCCTCAAGCCTGAACCCCAAAACAGACACAGGCTTGAAGTACGAGCAGCTTTGCGAACTTCAGGGCCAGGCGCCCACGCTTCCGAGACATGTTCCATTAGAGTTGAAAGATTTGGAGTTATGGCGGTTGCGATTCTTGTCTGGGGCCCAGAAACTGGTTTCAGCAACTTTGTCCCAGGCAGACGCTGAAATCCAGCGAGATGTCGAGAGCTTACTTTCCTTCTGTCTCTCCGACATGCGGTTTGTTTCTGCTGCGTGTATAAGCCATTACTCAGAAGGGTCTACGCGTTATCGACTACGACTCAAATATTGAAACACCATGATCTTCACGAGCCAGCAGGTCGGGCGGACGTTTCCAGAAAGCTGCATCCTCAGTGGCCAGGGGAGAGGACCAAGGGCTTCGAAGACAGCCTTTCAGCAGGGAGAAAAGCCAGATGCTACATGACGCCTGATGCTGCTTGCCAATGGGGATTCTACTTGTGAAGGGTTTTCCACGAGTTCTGCCTTTGCCTAGGGTTTGATGAAGCCAGCCAGCAGGCCTGGGTAGCAGAGGTAAGGTTCGGACTTCGGGATTTTGTGGGCCAAGAGTTGGAGCAAGGATTGGACATGCGGCTTTGCATGCTTCGCCTTGCGCTTGCTTCCCTTTGTTGCGATGCAGGCGCTTTTCCGCGTGCTGCGGGCAGTGTCTCATCGCTCGGCCACCCAGAGACCTGCATTGGAGTGACTGCAGCAAGGCACATTTCCAGGAAGACCTGAGTATTGAGTTCTCAGGGCCAGATCCCTGAAGCTCTTTGAAAACCTTTTTGTTCTCAACAAGAACACTTCTCTGGCAGTGGAGCTCTGTGGACCCTGTTTTTGTTGTGATTGTGCGTGGGCAAGGGATCTTTCCCCAAGCAGTTTCACATCATTGCATCCGCTGGGCTCAGGTGTTGAGGATATCGGTTACTGTCAGGGGATGAACTTCATCGCAGGCCTCGCCTTTGTGCATTTGCGCCCGCTGCCTGAAACTGTCGTCGCAGCATCCAACGCAGAACGGTGGCAGGGGTGATGCTCTGCGTGTTCCGGTCCGGCGGAAACAAGGATAGGGACTCAGAGACTCACAGCTATGTGAGTCGACCCTGCTTGTGTTTTGGAGGAGCTTTCAGGGATGCTTCCTCTTCTCGAACTTAGAAGTAGAAGGTCGCTCGCATCGCTCACATCCAGTTCGCTGTACGAATCGGAGCGTAGGGTTCCAGCATGCGGCAAATGTGGTTTAGGGCCTGGTTTAGGGCCTCATAGGGTTTTTATTGTTTCAGCCGCTGCTCTTTGCTTTCCCTTCGATCCTTGCTGGGCAAGGCCGCGGAGACCGTTGCGTATCACTGCGTGCTGATCCCCAGTTTCAGTTCCGCACGCATGGCACTAGCTGCGCTTCGTGGGTCGCTAGAAGAGAGGGCATCTGTCAGTATGTGCATTGTCAGTATGTGCATTTGCTGCATTTGTTTGCTCAATATATATATATGTATATATATATATATCTCTTTCTCTCTCGCAATGTACCATGCTAGATATGTGTCGTGCATGCGACAGCGGCCTCAGAATCATAGTTCTTTCTCAGGTGTTGTCCATGCTTCTCCGACATGGGATGAATCAGTGCCGCAGTGTTTGTGCATGTGCCTTCTCAGATTTGTGCTGTAGTTCCTTGGCTGCTGCCGCAGGCTCGTGCCTGTCAAGCTGGAGCAAGCCCAGAGTCGTATGACACTTGCCTCAGGTACTTCGGCGATGGTTTTCCAAAGCTCCGCCTGAGTGCACTCCAGTTTGATTGCCTGCTTGAGGCACTTCGGGAACGAGAAGTTTGTGCTCTGGGAAGTTGTTTTTTTGTGTTTGTTCCCCGTTTCGTTTCCGTTGCAGAGACGGGCTCATGATTTGAGACCTCGGAGGTGGGGACGGGAGGTGGGATGCTTGTTTGCCCGTTGGCGAACGCTGATCCCTGATCCTGCGCGCTTAAGGCCTTTTGAGGCTTTAGGATGCACTGGCAGACCAACATGTGTACTCACGGCCTTAGGACTTAAGTTAGGCTTTTTTAGGCTACTTTGTATTCTAGGCTTTAGTCTGCTCCTTTAAAGATAGAGAATCAGAGCACGACCCGGCGCAACAAACCAAAAATGCAGACTGCAACAAGCACAAGCAAACGCTGTCATCGTAATATTGCGCTGGATGACCTCGCCGATTGCTTCACCGAGCTGGGATGAGGTGCAGAAGACGCTTCTCGCAGGAGCTGTGGCCAGTATGCGGCAGTAGGATTTCAAGTTCAGTGTCCCACCTCCTTAAGTGGTGAACAAAACACAGCTTTCCAGCATATTGTGCGCGAAGAGCACACGACCGTGGTTCGGCACATTTTGTATTGGCCTGCAAGTGTTGCAACCGTGACACGAAATCCCCCTTCCTTTCGGGCTTCAGATCAAGGAACTCCCAACCGTGACCATTCACTGAAACGGCCGTGAGGAGCAGGGCAAGAATGGGCCCTGAACCCGAAGCCCTAACATGTGGCTCTTAACATCTCTAAACCGTCTTAACCTCTAAAAACCCGAAAAGGCATCCGCAAGCCCCTGAACGTACAGAACCTCAGGGCATCTCGGCCCGCCAGGAGCCGAGGCTCCCGTCGTCCAGCGCTACAAGGCCTCGACGTCAGAAGCGACAATCGCACGAAAAAGGGCGAGAAATCCCACAGCACGGGCACGCTCACACCCAACACACACACAACACACGCACTCACACAGAATGTGTATATATTTCTATATGTATATGGACAGATATGCATAATGCATATACATATCGTGCAACAGGAAGTGCTTGTTCCCCCAACTGATCGGTCAGGCGTTGTTCTTCGTCCGGCAGGTCGCGCCTGCCGAGGAGGGCGCCGAGGTCCTGAGCAGCCCGGCATGGTGCCCTGAATCTGTAGGCTTTAGGGCCATTTTGGGCGATTGAATGTTTGGGGTTTCAGGTTTCCAGAGTATCCGACAAGGTCAGTGTGGTTCTTCTGGTATCTTCTGGTGTTTGCTGCAGACCCGTGCGGAAACCTCGACCAGCCGCGGTGTGCCAGGCAAGGCCCTTTCGCTGCAGACGGATTCGGTGCTGCTGCGGCATGAGGCTCAAGTGAATTCAAGTGAGCTAGTCCAGCATGTCCTTCGGTTTCGACGTGGCGTGGAGTATCGGTGCGAAGGCTGCCTACGTTCTGGGCCAGCTCGGTGTGCCCACATGTATACCTCTGCTCCGACGCGTGCTGCTTGACGAGACGTGGCTGCACAGAGTGTTAGCCAAGATAAGGGATGTGGCGACTATGGCTTTGTGTTAGCTTTGCGTTTCAGATCTTTTGCCCCTCGGGCAATTCAGGAGTCCGAGGACGAGATCGTCCGCCAGGACCTCGGCGGCATAGGATAGCAGGGGGGGTTTCTTCGTGGGTTCCCCAAGCCCCTAGACCCTCCTTGAAGTCAGCGACAAGCAGTTCCTTCAACCCCCTACTTCAGGAGAAAACACGTGTCGTCAAAGCAGAACTTTTGGCTTTTATAATTTACCGCTAGGGTCGGGGGGGGGGTCTGGGTAGGGGTCGGGTATGGGCGAGGGGGTGGGGGGGTAGGGGAGGTTGAGGTTGGGGTGGGGAGGGCAAAACACACAATTTCTCACATTCGGCCTTTTTAGCTCCCCAAATCTCTCCTCCGGCATGTCGTCCGCAGCTGGACACTGGTCGGCGAGGGGCGGTACCTATTCCGCACCACAAAAACTATGAAAAGTTTCCCAAGACTCTATGCTGGAAACTAGCAAGCAACTACTACCAGGTTAAGTTTGTCAAGGATGCTTGTGAATCATTCCTTCTGACTTTACCGGGAAATGTGGAGCGACTCCTCCAGAACAAGCAAATCAGCCGCATTCCCGAAGGATGCCTCGCCGGAGCTTTTGCTAAGGGTTGCGTGCTCTTTGCGGTGTTTGTAGGCGTTACGGCTTCCTACGCCTGAGCAGCAGTGTGTTCTCGTCGCTGTACCGGTGCGAAGATAAGGATGGGCAGAATGCAGAAATGCCATGAAATGCCTGAGTACAGCACACGCTTTCCACTCTTGGCTCCCATGACATGGGACCCGCGGGCGGAAGAGCATGGGACAAAACAACAGCAAATGCCAGCAGCCGTTGGGTCAGCATGCCAGGCGTGACTTGCCCCTGGAGCTTGGAGACTATCTGTTGATTTCTGTTGTGTATCTTATCGCATACTGTAGACTACCTGCTTGCTTTTGCCGCATACCATAGTACATTTTGATATACAACAGTGTGCTGTCGGATGCTATAGTGTACGCCCAGGCCTGTAATATACTGTAGTAGTACTACGACGGTAGACGCCAAAGTTTTAGCAAATCATTTATATCTTCATTTTATCATCTGTCGCACCCAAAGATTCCGGCTTTTGGCCTTCTTGCTGTTGTATGTGCGGGGAGTTAGACCGAGGGGAAGGACGCGAAAACGAGTCGACCAAAATCCTTGGGAGCTGCACAACTTGGCGTGAAGAGGGATTAGAACGGGTGTAGTTTGGAGATCGGGCTATGTTAGATGTAGTCGACCATGGTGACTTTGATCTTGGAAGTTAAACAGCCACCTGCCAGAACTGACTCCGCATAAAGAGGGTTATGCAGGGATGTGGGTTGGAGCACCCTGAGCACTTGGGAGCACCCCAAGCCCGATGTACGAAGTTCGTTTCGGTCACTGCAATCGATGCGTGTAGTTGCAAAAAAATGCAGGTTTTTTTCGGAGTGTTGGTTGCAGGTTCATTCGCGTCGTGGGGGGTATCGCACAGCCGCTTTTTGTTTGCTTCTCCAGCGTGCATTCGACACGCGGGTCTGAGGATGCTCGCCCCAAGGTATCGCGGGAGTTCCGTTTTGCAACTCATTGGGGTGAAGTGGGAGGCAAGGCCGGTAGAGGGCTGGCCGCGGAACGACGACGTCCCCGTATTACGTCCTGATCCTAAGCCCTGACACTAAACAAAGAGTGCTGGGCCTAAACCCTCTCGTCCTCATCCTTCATTGGGCTCAGGGCACGAGGCTGCCGAAGCTCTGGCGGCCCTTCGCCCCGACGACTCGCAGGCCTTTGATGATGTTTTTCGCCTTGCGGGGGTCGTGGAAGCCAACCAGAACCCTAAAATCCTGAACCGCCTGAACAGGCGTATCCCTGGACCTTTAACCTTGAACCCTAGCCCCTAAAGACCCTAAGACCCTAAGGGCCCTTAAGCCCCTAAAGACCCTAAAGGCCTTGAAGGCCCAATGGGCCCCAAAGCTCCAGCTACCATCCCGGCCAATCTCTTCTGACTGCAACATGCAGTAACTTCACGAGGTCAGCACGGAGATCTCAAATCATGTCAACACACCTGTCTCAGGATTAGAGGTTCGCACTCTTTACGGCTCTTGCTCAGTCAGAGTCCTAATGCCCACATCGACGGGGCTTGCTGCGGCGTTGCTCCGGGGAATGTCGTACAATCAAGAAGCCTACACGGAGTTCAGCAGAAGCATTGGCACCACTACGGATGGTCACATGTGAAGATGGCGTTGGATTCTATTCGTTTTTGTGGGATGGTTGGTTGCATCTATCTTCGTCATCTTTCGTATTGCCAGTAAAGCCCCTAAACCCTATGACATGACACCTTGTGCAAACTGGGGCGTGCACTTCGAAAAGCTCGACCTGGTGCGCCCGGACTCTTGTGTGCACGTGGCTGCAGCAGAACACTTGGTACATCTTAGCACTTGGTGAAGAGTACTGGACATGTACTGACATAGCGTGCGTGTCGACTCTAACCCTACTTCATGAGGCAGGAATTAGCTTTAGCGGAAACGCTGCGGATGACAGATTTTTCTCTCAAACAAAGACTCCCGACTCATCATGCATGATGAAGATGTTCACGCTTGTGCTCCAAAGTCGCTTTGGCAGCATGCTGCATGTGATAGTTCTCAACGAAGTTCGCTTTCTTCACAGCATAACACAGGAATCCTCACATTGCTGCAGACTCCGCTCCTTCACAGAGATGCCTGGAAACTAAGAGTAGGGCATAGTAGGGCCAATCCCCACGGCAGTCCGTTGCGCAGTGAGGCCATGATCTGCGACTTGAGATCCGTTGCCTCGGGTACCACATCAATACCGCTGCAACACACCTGCGAGCTGGCCCTCGCTGGACTTCTTAGAGAGACATGCGTAGGCTCCATAGTCTCTTGCGTGCAGGCAGTGTAGGCACGTTGCATGTTTTTCCACACTTTGCCGTGTAGGACTGGAGCAAAGTGGTGAAGAAGCCGCTTTGCCAGCCTGTGCTTGCCAGTACAATTCCAAGGATGCCCCATTGTAGCAGGCAAGAGCCATATGAGAACGATTTTTGGAAGTCTAATTTTGCATTCCGACGTATTCCGACGCGCAGCTTTCGTAGGATCCTGCCCATGGACTTGCCGGAGCCACCGAAGTGGAGGCTTGACTCGATCGGAAAGGGATCGGAAACCCGGCCCTGATCTTGAAATACTCCTTTCGCAGTCGAGCCATCAGAATCAGATACAGCCCTCAGCCACAAGGCCCCAAGGCCCGAATGGCCACCAATGCTGTACGCGTAGAGTGTCCAGGGGTTCAACCAGTCGGGGTTGACCTGTGGTCTTTTTTTGATCCCTAGCATCATGCATTCCTTACAGGTGCCCAAAAAGGCCCACATCTTGGGTCAACCACCAATACGAAAACTTGAGCCGTAACCGCAAGTCCAAGATTTTCCTTTCAGGTCCCCTGGGCGGCAGAGAGGTTGGCGGATGCGTCGCGACCACTCTAC